GAGGTCTCTCTGCAGTGCTGTCGAGGGAGTCAACAGCTCCTCCCAGTTTGTTGTCAGCAAACTTACTTAGTATTCCCTGAGTTCTGCATCCAGGTTGTTAATGAAGATGTTGAAGAGCACAGGGGCCTAAGATGGAGCCCCGTGGAACCTCACTAGTGACAAGTTGCCAGCCTGATGTCACCCCATTTACTATAACTCTTTATGCCCAACCTGTGAGACAGTTGCTCACTCATCACAATAACATGGTTATCCAGCTGTGGGCTGGGCATTTTATCCAGAAGGATACTGTGAAAGACAGTATCAAAAGCTTTGTGAAGTCCAAAAAGGTTACATCTACTGGCTTTCTTAGATCAACTAGGTGGGCTACCCTGTCATAGAAGGAATCAGGTTTGACAAGCAGGACTTCCTCATGTGTGACCCATGACTGTGTTGTCCACTAGGTGTTTTTAATATCTCCCAGAATAATCTTCTCCATAACTTTACCAGGCACTGAAGTGAGACTGACAGGCCTCTAGTTTCTGGGGTCCTCCTTCTTGCCCTTCTTGAAAATTGGGACAACATTCAGCAGCTTCCAGTCAGCTGGGACCTCTCTGGATTCCCAAGACTGCTCAAAAATCATTTAGAGAGGCTTTGCAATTACATTATCCAGCTCTTTGAGGATTCTGGGAGGAATTCCATTATGCCCCATAAGGATCCAGCTGGAGCAGCAGATCCTGCACAAGTTCAGGGTCAGCTGGGAGTTGATCTCTCTTGCAGTCATGGTCCTCCAGCTCAGGGCGCTGAGACCCCCTTGGTCCATCATCTGTGTTGAATACAGAGGCAAAGAAAGCATTAAACATCTCTGTCTCTGTCCCTGTTTGTGAGGTGACCATCCTCATCCTGGAACAGGATGACATTTCTATACTGCCTATTGCCATTAGTGTATTTGGAAAAGCTCTTTTTATTATCCCTCATGTTTCTGACCAGCTTCAACTCCAGCTGAGCTTTGGCCACATAAATTTTCTCCCTACAGTGGCAAGCAGCATCTCTGAAGTCTTCCCATGTCACTTGACCTTGCTTCCGTTGGGCACACACTTTCCTTTTTCAATAATCCAGTGTATCTCATCTTTGTATTGTAAACTTGCTGATTCTCATGACAGTGACATTTCTGCTCCTTATCGATTCTATAGGAAGTGTTCAGAGCCTGGCTTGGAGAAAGAGTGTGGTATTCAGTGCCCTTTTGTGCAACTTCCACTGCACTGTAACGTGGTCTCATCCAGTGATGGAAGTGCTGGCCTCAGGTGGTTTGGGTGTTACTGAGAGCACAACATACTTGAGGCACTCAACTGCCACATTTCTGATGGGTTGTGGTGCACTGGGAAGAGAGAATCAGACATGGTGTGTGAAGGGACTTGGCTGGACAGTTTTGTGCACGTGCACTCATCACCTAACCAGGTGGTTGGCTAGAAATACCTCAGAAAAAACTGCCCATGTCAACCTCCAAATTTTTCTACTGTAGAGACCTACCTCACAGTATTCCTCCACCTACACCAGAAACTCAAAGCTCTTCTCTGCCCCATTCTCACTGTCCATCTTCCCACAACCCTTCTCATCCTGGTGGGCCAGGGAGGGAGTGGAGTACACTGTGTTAGTCCTGCTCTGGGCTCAGAGCCAGCTCAGAAAAACAGTTTGTGCACCTATCGAGACTGGGCAGTAGAGGTGTTCTAGGCAAGCAAAATCATCCTCTCCTTTCAATTTCTATACAAAATTCTGGGGCAGAAAACCTTTCAGTGTGGCAGTTCGGTGCAGAGATGTAATCAGCATCTTTATTTGTCCCACAAACTATTATTATGGGTTGAGATGGAGAAAGATGTTTGTCAGAGTGATTCTCAGATCCCAAGCTGAGCTTTCAAAGCAAGCAAAGTAAAATAGATTGAGCACAATTTATGTGTAAATCAGTAAGATACAAACAGTGTGGAATCTCAAGTGTAATACTAGTGGGAATAACCAAACTACTGTAGTTAGTGAGGTACTGCTGTATATCTGAGCATGTGGATTTTAGATTGCTTTTGGAAAATACTCTGTCAGCTATGCTATACTTTTTTTTCCCCCGTGGTTTGCTGAGTCCTCTGCTTAGTCTACTTTAGGTCTCATAAATGGAAGTTTCTTTGACTGCTGCCTGCAGGTTATAACAGTATCACACGAAGCCAACATATGGACAGTGATGTTTTTTGTAGAACTTCATCCCAAGTATGTTTTTTGGAGTAGAGCTTCATTTAGAACAATTTTTTGGTGCAAATGAAGGCATATGGGCCCACACTCTCTAAACCATGAGCTGGCTCTTCCAAGAGGCTTTTTTTGTTGGATTCCACAGCATGGTTTGTAGTATGCTCACCACCAAGAGCTATTAATTTAATAGGATTGAGATTGTTTCCCATAACACAGTACTCCACTGCTTCCTTGTAAAAAATAATCATGTGGCTTTTTTTGTAGGTTACATGCAGTCCTCAGGATTTTGTGATTTCATTGGAAGATGCCTACAATTATCAACTAACTTCAGGCTTAATTAGCTGATTATCTTGTCTTGTAACTCTGCCTACCCTTTAAAGTTTCAGGGTTTTTTCCCAAATGTTTCCCAGACTGTCATTTTGTACTTATTTAAATTTTGTGGATGCTTGGTGGTGAATTCTTCTTGGTTTTGAATCTGGTCCAAATAACTATGCCTATATAGAACCTAGTTTGCCCTGTATAAAAGATTGTACTGACACCAATGTAAAGCAAGGAAATGGCTTGCAGGCCACAGCATAATAAATTAATCAGATTTAGTCATCCTCCTGGGACACAGAGAAGTCAGCTCAGGTCAAGACACTTCTGGGAAAACTAGATAGTTGGTAAATGTATTACCAGCTGACTATCAAAGTCCCTGTGCCATACCAGGAAATATCCCTGCCTTGGGCAATGCTTCCCTTCCTGCAATGACAGAAGAAAACCCAATGTTTTACAACTTTTTCTCCTTCTTTCTATTCCTTGCAACTAGTTCTGGCAAGCCAAACAAATTTTTTCTCCATGCCATTCTCTGTATTTGTGGGCTAACAACATAGCTTTTTACTAGATGCAATACTATTCACAATGTAACATGCAGCCTTTTTATCTTCTAGTAGACAAGAGGCAGAGCTACCTCATGATTTTTAAAAATCTGTTTATTTAATCATCGTTTCCTCTTTTCTGAAATGGGGTCCAGATTGTCATTTCAGAATAAAGCAGGAACATCTCCTTTCACTGCACCACATTCTACTATGATATGCAGAATTAAAGTGCTCCCACCTGAGTAAAGATTATATAGTTTGTTGCATAATGGGATGTGAAACCAAACCACCATCTGTTCTCATCAATATCTCTTCCTTTTCATAGTGGTAGTTGAGGGGACACTCGAAATTCCCTGTTGGGGCTGAGCACTGATGCCTCAAGGTATAGACGTTTCTTAGTCTGAAGCAGCTCCTGTTAATCTTAACAGCTTCTTTTTATTTTGATAGGCAGAGTTGATCAGCAGATCCACAATCCTTTTATTTTGTTTTTATAAGTAGCTACTCCCCAAATAAAACATAAACTGTTTCTATCTTAGACTTTTTAATATCATCTTATTTTAGATGTCTCTGGATATGCCACAAACAGGGATGGCCTTGGTGATTTGTCCATGACCTCACCAGGATGAATTTAGTAAGGAGTCCATTTAGTTACCTCTTCTTCCCTTCCATCTGCCTGTGCCTATCAGCACTTCCCAGTAGCACTTGTCCTGTTGAATATCACAGGTGGATCCAGGTCTGATCTAATGATTTGCATCCATTATTTATGCCCTTGAAGCTTTGGACAGTAACCTCATTCCAGTGTGTTCTCTTTATCTCATGTGTACCTGTGTGTCCGAGGTGTAGCACCATCCAGAGATTTGAGATGAATGGAGTTGGTGGGAGGGGAACTGTCTGGAAATGTTCCAGTGATGCCAAGGTCTACAAACACAGATCTGTTGAGGCTGAAATGTTTGGCATTACATGCATTTTTGCTGAATTACTACAGCTTTGCTAGAGAATATAATCTTGCATCTGGCAGATGGTTGTCTTGGGAACGTGATCTCAATGCCTCTTGGAGTCTCGGATCTCAGGCTGACCAATAGTGGCTTGCCCTGCATCAGGAGACCTTGAGAACTCCACCCAGGGGCAGCCCACCCAGGCAATGTGCTGTGGAAGGGATTCCTGGTGTTTGGTGCCGTTTCCAGCTTTGGAGCTGTAGATCTCAGGGATTGCAGATACTCAGCCTCACATGAGTATATTCTTTGGCAACGCCCTGAACAGTGCCTAAACAAGGAAGTGAACACATTTCTATTCCTACAGTGTGTTACCTTCTTTGTGTTTGCTTCTTCAAGTTCCACCAGGACAGACATTTATATAAAGAGTAACTGTGACTTGGAATTTTGCCGGTGAATATTTCGGAATTTGTGTTCTGTGAACCATATTAGTCCTAAAGTTTGCTTTTGAATTAAAGGCTTGTTTAACTTACTAACACAATGTGAGTGCGCCTATCCTCTTTTACAGTCAAGAAGTTGCAGCTGAAGACACATATCCCACAATCATTTTGACTTTTTGCTGTTTGAGATGTTCACCTATATGGTCTTTCATGCTAAATCTGAGAATTCTGCAATGTGTGGACAACTTGCAGACATGGAAAAAAATCATCAAATAATTTAGTTAGATTCAGTCTGTACATGCCAGTGATGTTCAGCTAATAAATAACTTTGTGCAAATAGATAAAATTATCTACAAAGCAATATATTTTTATATATAGCCCCTCATTGCTATTTTGATCACTTATCTACCTTGGCCAGAACTGCACTTTCTGAACTTACAAAAACTTGAATTTGTTTCAGAAGAGAAAAAAAGGCTTTATGACAAAAGAGTTTGATTATTTCACTCTGGTAGACAACATGAAGGATTTGATATTGCTGGATTAGATAAGTGTGATTCTTAGGTTTTTCTGACTAATCTTTTTGAATGTCAATATTTAGAGAGCTTGGTGATGGGTATTTAACAAACCTTAAGGTAATATATATGTCTTGTGGCCTGTCCAAGGTTCTATTTCCTAAACTGGATGGGATTCCAAGCCTTAGACAGATATATCATGTACATGGCTTCTGGGAAATTCAGATGTTAAACTGATCGTCTCCCGATGATAAAGCTCAGTTAAGTGTCCCTTAAAGATTTTAAAATGTAGGCCTCAATCCTACAGTATAATGCAGATCGATTCACTGGCTTCAGCTAAGGATTTACTTGGAAACAGGTGTCCTCTAGCATGTGACACATGGCAGGGTTGAAACAGATTCTCCCATATTTTGGTTGCTGCGAAGCTTTTACCTGAGAGTATGGAATACTGGTCTTACAGCCATATGGATACTGTTTTCAATGGCATAAAATCCCAGTGGTCCACTGAAATTGAATCTGACTGGTACTTTTTTCTGGCTGAAGAGATTATTGGGGTTTTTCTATTGCTGCAGTTTTGAATGGGACTTTAGAAGTAGAGACAATAATGTCAATGACACAGAGTATATGCCTGAAATTGAAATGCTGAAATGCTGTCTTGGTCCTGTGAATTTTAATTTGTAACATGGATCTGAACTCTATTAAAAATCCAGATAGAAGTATCCTTCTGGCTTCACACATCTCTCCTGGACTCATTTCTTGCAAACAGAACTACTCTCTCAGAAGCCCTTCCACAGAGAACTGTGTAGGATTAGGGCTGTAAGCAAGCTGTGACAGAAATGCCAGCTGTGACATAGGATTCCATGTCAGTGCTGTGGGAAGATGGCAAAAGAGCCTAGTTCCTGTGCAGTACTTCTCATTCATAGATTTTTTGAGTGTCATTTTACAGCAATATCCCAAGGTTACTCAGCAGATAAGTGACACAGCTGGAAATGAAGTCCAGGTGTCCTGAGCCCTCGTCCACTGCTCCATCCATCCCGCCTCCAAAGAAGCAATGTTTGCAAAGAGCTGTAGGAAATGCCCGATTTGCCTTGTGTTTCACCCCGGCAATGGAATGCTAGGTCAGCAGTATTTGTTTTCTTATCTTGATCCCCCTAATTTTTACTTTTTAGAGAGTTCTCTCTGTAACGGAGCTTCTTGCAAACTCAAAACATGTTGCTGGTAGAGCTTGAAAAATTTCTTGCAAGAAATTCAAATCTCTTTACGCTTGTAAAACGATGATTCCCCAACTTTGCCTGTAGACCTTGGAAAATGGTAATGGGAGGAAGTGATCTCCTGATCTCCAGCTGTGGTTCTGTGTGCTGCTCTGATCCCACCGATGACTGGATTTGAGAGTAAAGCACGGTTGGTTCTGCCTCTGCCCTGTGTCGGATTTCACCCTTCTGCCCTTGCTCTGAAGGTAATGGGTTTAGATACGAAATACCCATACGAAACTGACTGTTTCTTGGTCAGGAGCTGAACAGATTGCTGTGTTTAAAAGCCCCACCACCCATTGCTACAAATCTATTAAACATCTCCAGTTAACCATACAGCCTCCTGCTTCAGCAGCTGAGCATGTAAATTCCTGTGACCAAATAACTGCACAGTTAACTGGTTTCACATGTGCTCCCACCGTGCCCATCTCAAAAGGTGAAATATTAGCCCGGCTCTGCCCCGTGGGCAGCTGGACGGTGACCAGGACACGGCAGTTCGGGAGGCTGGACGGGGCACCCTGCAGCCTTACAGTGACACTGGGACCTCTGGCTGTCCCTTGTGCTCCTCTCCCCTCGCACTGTAAGAGCCAGAGGCTGCCGTGGGAGCCCAGATGCTGCCGGGCTTTCCCAGGACCTGATCCTGATGGAGTCGGGCAGCGGGGCTCATGGTGGCTCCCCTGGCATTGCCTCCTGTGCCCCGGGGTGCTCCTCCCCACGCTTCTGGGAGGGGAAACTGCTTTTATTTTTCTACCCCGGGGCCGCGGGCAGGTTTTGTTCCGAGCGGAACGACGCTCTGAGAGGGCAAGGAGCTTCCCCCGGCTGCCCCTGCCCGGGCTGGCACGAAGGGGCCCGGGTGCCCGAGAGGGCCGGCCGCGCTGGGACAGAAGGGCCGCGTCCGCCGGGCCGGGACCCGCGGCTGAGGCGGGCCGCGGCGGGGCGGGAGGTGTTTGCCTTGGCCTCGGCAGCGAGCGGGCCGCTGGCCGCCGGCCAGCCGGGGATATTTCCTTTCGCCCTTGTTCGCAGAGGCATTCAGGAAAACAATTGGGAGCTATGAGGGCTTTCCCGTTCCGGCAGCGTGCGGCTCCGGCCAGCGCAGCCCGGCCTGGGGACCTGCTGCCAAATGGCTGGGGCTGGGGGAGAAGCGCTGTTGAGTGAATTGCTTTGAAATAAAAAAAATCCCCCCACTCTGTCGGTGCAATGCGTATAAAAACTGCTCAAGAAGCAGGCCTTAGGTTGCTCAAGATGCCAGTGATGCCGAGGAAATCATATGGAACATAAACCAATAAGGACAGAAATGCTCGAATTGCAGCCGTTTGCATCACCTGGGGCACAGCAGCAATTAAAGGTGAACACAGGGAAAACCTGGCAAGCCTCTACCTCCTTGTACATGTACAACCACAGCGATTGTAAAGGAGCCAGGCAGGTGCTGGGAAGCTCTGAGACGAGGTCTGTCCTGAGTTTCCTCTTAGATCTGAGCTTGTGGTCTGAACCAGGCATAAATGTGCAAGGACATGATGCCAGGGTAATTCCAAGTGGGCCAGGACAGGCTCCAGAGGGGTTTGTCAGCCCCTGCTGGTGTCACTTAGGGAGAAGTGCCCATCTTGACTGACTATAGCCCAGAGAAGCTGGGTGGCTGGGAAAGAAGCAGCTGCCAGGGCTGGTATATAATGGTAAAAGCAGGGTCAGAAATCTTGGCTGCATTGTGTCTGGTGGCCTCTTGCTACCTCCCCACACCAGGGCTTGTTCCTGCTGTCTTGCTCTGGGGAAATAGCTGCTTGTTGGGTGAAACTTTGCACGTGCAATATTGCAGCTCGAGTTCTTCACTTTAGGGATAAAATTTAAAGGTGTTTGTTTCCATGTTCAGAAGGCAAGAATGCTAAAACTGTAACATTGAATTGTTAAATGGTGTCTCTTGTCAGAAGCCTGTTAGGGTTGGGTTGTGCACAAATGATCATTGTTACTAGAATAAGCTTTTTCTTTTCAACTTTTCAACTTTTTCTTTTCAACATCTTACTACAGGAATTTGTATTGGAAGAACTATAGCCTTAAGGGCAGGTGCAGTGATTATATGGGAGCGCATCCATTTTTCCAGTGTAGTTGACGAGGCCTTTGGCATATTGCAGCCTAAATAAATTTTAATTTTTATTTTAATGACATTTGAAAAGCACTTGAATTATTTTGAAATGGGTTTCTTTCAAAATATATTCTAAATGTCTGGTTTTTTTTTTTTTCCTTTTTATATACACCTCCAATTCAGCTGTTCTTTTTAACATGAATAGTTTGTGCAAGACCTTTGGGCTGTTCCCAGTGTCTGGAAAATAAGTATTGGTTGATTTTTTTTCTTTAACGCTAGCAATTGATTTATACTGTTTTGTATTTCAAGACTATTCTGGTAGGGGAGGGGCTTGAAAATCAACCTGGAAAAGTCATCAACAAATGCTCTCAAGAGCACAAGCTGCAATTTTCAGGTGCATTTTTTTTCTTCCACATCAGAGGGAAGTCACAGATCTATGTTACCTCAACCTAAAAAATTGCACATTTCTTGTTGCTGTTGGACTGGAGAGGGATGCACTGCTTGTTTGTCTTTAGGGCTGAACAGTTGTATCTCACATCTAGCAATACCAACAGGGAGTTTTAAAAAGCAGTGTACCCTGAGTGTCACACCTTTTCATGCTTGAAGAAACACTAGGAACTGTGTTTCAGTTCCAGTGAGTTTGTAATGTTCCTTTATCTCTGTGAAGTCTTATGTTTTTCTAGAAATTGTGGCAGCCCATGAAATGAATTTCGTATTGGAATTACAAACGCTGAATTCAAATTTTATCACTTCGTGGAGCTTAACAGAGCACTAGGTTTGTGATTTTATTCACAAAGCTTTGGATCATTGCAAATTGCTTCCTACTATTTGACAGCTTCCTTTTTAGAAATTTCAACACTCCAGCTATCTGCCTTCAGCAATGTATGATTCTAATCACTGATATGATTTCATAATCCTCCTTTAATTCAGCAAACATTCCAGATTATCAATATGCGATGTGTATTTTGGGAGAGCACAGTGCTGCAAAATTTTCCTGTTGTCAGGCTTTTGGGTTTTGTAGCTGAAAGGTGCATATTGTTAACCAGGGGTAATTTCTTAGATGTAGTTTATAAATATGTGTAACTATTTTGGGTCGTAGAGATGACATTCCCTTCAATGAATGTAAGACATAAAGCTGCAGCGTTTAAAGCCAAATTCAGCAGGAAGAAAGAAAATTGCTTCCATATATCTTCTGTATGTCATTAAATGGAAAATGAGATAATTCTTCCATACATCTGAAAACCAAATAAAAAGGTCTATTCTCCTCTCAGTTTCTGTGGATAAATCCAGCTAATTTTTGTGGCAGTTATGCACATTGATGGGAGAAAAGATGCCTCAAGTAGGATGATACGGTACACATATATTACTAAATAGAATACTCATTTTACTTAGGATAATCCGTCTTTGTTCCAGATATATGTAGGCATTCTTCTTAAAGCAAGTGTTTTAGTTGTCAGGATGACTTGATACATTTGTTCTTTGATGTCAAATTCAGTTGCATCATTGTGGAATGGTTGCTACAGAAACCCCAGCCCAGTTTTTAAATGTATTGAGTTCTCTTCTTATTACTTAGAAAAGCTGGATTTGATTTCTTTCCTGTAAAAAAGTTCATAATAAAAGGGGTGAAACCTCTAAAACTGGAGCAATAAGCGTGGAAAAAGTACCCAGATAGTGAGATCAGAGACAATAAGGAAAAAAAGCAATTTAGAGTCCAACAAAGTATATCTCTTGATAAAATGCTCCATGTTGTAATTGAAACCAGAGCTAAATTAGATCAATACCAAAATATTAAAGTGTGCCAAACCTGTTTTCTGTAGGCTTTGCTATAATTGGATTCTGATGCAAGAGATAGCTTAAGTAGGCAAAGTCTGTTGACTCAAGACCATGATTATTCATAGAAAAAGAGCTTCCTGCAAAGGTATACAGTGCATTTCTCCGGTGTTTCTTGAAGAATTAATACATTTCTATCCTTCCCTTCCATGCTGATGCATTTGAAGTCTGTATCTTGCCTACAGTAAATCTCTGTCTTGCTTAACAAGAAACTATTTCACTGTATAAGCGAGGCATATTGACAACAGATTTAACCCAGACAACTCAGCTTTATTCAATCAGAAGAATGCTGGCCTGGTTTCAGGTTTCTGGGATACAGGCACAAATGGACATGCCCCAAGTAGAATCCATTTGTTTTCCCATGAATGCACCTAGTAGGAGGTCAAATAAAAATAAATATTTTGGCTCTTCAGAGCAAGATAGATTTCTGGAGTATTTGTGATTCCGAGTGGAAATGTGATTACAACAAGCAGAGGTAGCATCTGAAATATGTTCTATTGAGAGTGAAAAAAAGCATTGTTTTCTCTCTCCGTCTGTGTTTTAAGCTGTGGTTATTCCTTGTCTTCACTAATCAGATTTATGAGAATAACTACATATATCTTAATGCTGCTCTCCTGTTTGTAGAAGCTCAGGAGTTAAGGAAAAATAGCCATTTTTGTAGTATTTTAGGATTTTTTTTAAATGTAGGTATAACTTATGCAAAGAAGTAGTTTATTGACTTCCCCTGTGATAGTAAGAATAAATCAATTTAGATCCAGCATACGAGGGGCCCCAGATTCTCTGTGGAGTTCCACCAAACAATGGAATAAATTGTGCAAGGGCAATTTGTCCCTAATGTTTTTGGCTATTTGATTTTGTTGAGGTTTTGCCCATATTATTTAGGTATTCACTGTAATTTATACTGCCGTGTAAAAAAACCTTGCATATTTGCCTGCAGGGGAGTGAGTGCTCACCGAAACAGTCCTTTGAACATAATAAAAAAGAAATCCCCAGGTAATAAAAAAAATCCCTGGCTTTTATGAATAATGCATTTGTGGAACAGGGGGGAGAGGAAGTGCTTTTTAGATTTATTCCCCCCTCTGCCCCCCACTCAACCTGTTGGCAGAAATAAGCTCGAGGTTGGGAGTGGGTTCCCACATTGTGAGTGTACTCTGAGGCGCTTTTTTCAAGGTCCTGGTTTAAATGCTGCAACACAACCAGACACCAAATACTGGTAATTCTGATTTATTTGTTTGTTTGTTTTTAAAGTCTGTGGGTGTCTTCCCCTGTGTATTGACCATCTGGTTGTGGGTTAGGCTGTTT